AATGCTTGATAAATGACCTTTAATTATAATAAGTAAAAAGTAACCCATCTGAGTTTTCATAATTTAGATCACACATTTAATACAAATGGGAACTCAACCAACAGTGAGACTGAAGAAATGAATCTTGGTATAGTGGTAAATACATCATTTAAGCCATATCTCAGTGTTCTATTGCTAGTAGTAAAGCTAACAATTTTAAGGTGTGTTTACAGACATACTACAAGTCAGAAGAGGTAACCATACACCACGTATAATTTCTCACGTAATTACAATAGCCCACCAGTGGCACAGCTGTATGTCTGCAGACTTAGAATGCTAGAACCCGGGCTTTGATACTCGTGGTGGCATTGTATAGCTTTGTGCTTAACTACAAACAAACAATTACAATAATGAATTTTAAATTTCTAAAGTACACTACCCAATCTGGGGAATGATATGAATGCAACAGTACATACTATAACTCTCAGATTTCTTAACTTATCCTGACAAAAACTGGTAAGATTTTGTTACAAATTATAAGTATCTTGTACACAAAGAATGACATTACTTTAATTAAGTGTTTCTACTCAAAATATTGTTGGATTATAGTGTAAAATGAGCTCTTTCTAATGACTATATACATGTATATGTAGCAACCACATATATGTTATAAAGCTCAAGCAAAAGCATTGATAGTGGGCATGGCACCCATCAGGAGTTGACAAAATCTATTACTCGTTTCTACTGCATTCAACAAGAAAACTTTGAAACTTACGTGTCAAAAAGGCAACTAAACATACTTATTATCTAGATGTACATCTACACAACTGTCATGAACTTAAAAAAGAAAGAGTGGAAAAGTTTGGATTTTTCATAGATTGTGGCTCAAGTGACAACAAAACACATAGTTATAAGTATTTTTAATGTGTTTTTTTTAATAAAGGAAGTAAAACTTATATAACATAGTTCTGAATCATAACATACATTAGAATGTTAATTTCATTCACATACATTGATAGTTAAATGTTTAATTAAATTTTGAATTTAACTCAGTAAATTGCACAGAAAAGTGTTTAAAGGGGTACCCAGGGTGGAAGAGTTAAACAACAGATTTTGTTTGTTTTACTTGGTTTAAAAACAATATTAATTTTAGAACATTTTTGCTCATTTTAGGGTGATATAGCTTTACAATAAAACTTTTGTTTCTTATTCTTTTGGCTTGACCATTTCCTTATTAGAATTCCTTAGCAATTTATTTACAAATCACTGGTTAGGCCTTACTTGGAATATCATGTACATTTTTGATTTTCTTATCTAAAAAGATACTGGCTTATTGTAAAAGGTTCAGATGAAGGCTACTAGAATAATTCTGTAGACAGAAGGGAAACAAGGTTTCAACTTGAGAAAAGAAGGTTAAGAGGTGACCTTATTGAAGTTTACAAAATTATCCAGGGATTGAAAGGTAAACACCTCTGATTTCTTTGTTCTGTGTTCTCAAGACAACAGGATGAGAGAACACAAATTTAAAATTTGAAAAAGAAAAGCCTACGCTTCAGTTAACTCTTTAGATATGGGCTTGGTCATTTTGACTAACCTGTATCCACCATGTAACCATGAAATCATACATAATATGACTCTGAATTTACTAAGTGTATCTTCATGAATTTTTACAAGTTTTTTAGTAAAGTTTGCAAGTCTATTGTACACAAAAAAAATCAGTTTTAATAAAGTATTTCTACTAAAAATTTATGGAGTCAGTTATGACTCAGACACTGACATCTAACAGTTTCACATTTTATTTGCATAACCTTTAGGACTCCTTAAATGAATATCAGAAGTTTCATAACATAAAAGTTTATATTTCATCTATTATTTTCTATACCCCAACATTAACTATAGCTGAATCATTTGAAAATTATGAAATAAAATGAACATATCTTTTTCTTTTTGTTCTTTCAATACATAATTCATTTCCACAATTCGATTTGTTGATGTTATTCACAATTTAAATGCTTTACCTTTTCACATATAGCTTTTAGTTTTATAGTTTTACTGCCTGGTTTGTATGGCATTGTTTATACATCCCTGAAAAGCAACACATCACAATAAGAAGACATTAGTAGGTTCCCCACTCACCCACCAGCTGTATAAACATCTGCACTCATTGCCTTGCAAGCTAAATCTTATTAAAATTTTCTCTAACTTCTTTCACGAAGAAATAAATAAAAGCAATTATCTTTCAAATATGCAATTTAAAATATAATATTACATAATTAACTAAACAGGATGTCCAAAAATAACTATAATTTAAGTGTCTTTCTAACAGCGATAGAAATAGATCTTAAAAAAAATCATTAAATACAATGAATATAAGCTCTTTTTACCAAGAAATCACACAGTTAAAATTTTTAGTCTAACATTTATTGCTGCCAATGTTTAAAACTTTGGAACAATTTACTGGTATCTCCCTAATCAGAGATATTATGAAGTTGAATCTGTAGATTGGACCTTGGAATTATTTATACTACATATAGTGTGTGTGTGTGTTAGGCAGTGTACACATTACTGTGAAGATTGGGAAATTTTTTTTAGTATTTTCTTTTGATATCAAGAAATTAAAGCTTAGATGATATAAAAGGTTGAATCGTAAACTCAATTCAGATGCTAATATTATTGACATACATTTAATAATAAAGTTGTTTAATTAAATATTGAATGTAACTCTGTGAAGCTGTGCAACATCAAGACATGCACAGATGAGCTATGCCTGCATTTAAAAGGTTAAGACAGTATTTTTTCTAACAGGGTAATCCTCTTATGGAACGAGTTGTCATCAGCAGTAAAGGAGCAAATGGTCCCTTGTTGTCTATTTATTGTGTGTTACAAACATGCTTGCTTTTTTTTTTAATAAGCCTGCAATGAAACCACTAATAACATGTAAATTGCAAACTATAGTTATGTAGAAATCAAATCATTAGAAAAACTAACTGGGTCCTTAACTTTAACATCTACTGTGGACACACATAATTATCAAAGAAACAAGAAAAAATAAGTTTAAGTAAAAATGTGTACAAAATACTTATTCCACTATATATATATATATATATATATATATATATATATATTATACATATAGTAGTAGTACTACTTACTAAGTAAAAGTAATAAGTATA